GGGAGGTGCAGATGTATCAAATTTAAGATGCCTTGGAATAGATTCAAGTTTTAGATCTCTGTTATTGACAGGTCTCCAGTCAGGAGGTATTTTATTCAGTGCAGAATTTGAAGATCTTGAGAGAATAATTTTAGGTGTGATGTTCCAGGAACGTTGAAGCTCCAGTCCTTCCAAGAAGGATATAATGTGCATGGCTTTGTCTCTGGTAAGAATGATCTTCGTGGGGTATTCACACTTATAGGTTAAGTGGTGATGTCCAAGGGCTTAAGTAATGTTTTGGATTATTTTTCTAAATGTTGAGACAAGTTCGCAAAAAACTGAAGATTAGCACAATTTTCAGCGAAATGCTCAGGTTTCCACACTATTTCCAGGAACTTTTCTTTCACTTGAAAGAAGTGAAAATATACATTAACATCGCGTAAAAGTTTATCCGGGAGGAAAGCAGGCTTAGAAAGACGATGGATGCTGGATATCTGAGGCAGGACAGAAGTTTTGCATGACCTGCAAGAGTTCAGATTGCTGTATAGATTCATTTTAGGTCCTCTTCTGCATTGTTATGGCAATCTATCAGGGCATTGACCATGGAAATGAATTCACCCATCTTTTGTTCAATGTGATTAACATTGTCTCCAATCCCCTGAATCTTCACACAAAATTGCTGCTTCAAGGATGATGGCTGTATGAAGAGAGCTGCGTAGTGAAATATGCATGTCTTTGCACATAGTGTCCAAGACTGGCTGTTTAAGAGCTTAAAATGCATTAACAGATTTGTTAAGTTCCCTGTTATCATCCATAGAGGAACTATGCAGGCTCACCTCTGTTTTGGCCTTCTTGTTTCCGAGCCATCCAGTGTCTGGATTTTTCTGGGCTCCCAGTGAATGGCATGATGGCATGGAGGATGCCAGGGAACGAGGGTGGAGAATCACTCCCGGGTTGGTGAAGTTCCACAATCAAGGGGATTTTTGTCTGGGGAAGAGTATGCACTGCTATCTTGACCATGCTCCTGAGCTGGCCGGGAAAAGAATCTGGTCAATGTCTGCGGTTGCAGACCTTTTCTTTTGCGTGTCATCTCAATGGGTGTCGAGGTGGGTGATTTGACTGGAGCAGGGTGTTCTCATCATACAGGATTTATATAGCGCCAACAGTTTGCCGAGTGTTTTACAATATAAGGAGGACATTACATTTACAATACAAATCAAGACATGATGGTAAGGACCGCTCTTCCTGTGAGAGCTTACAATTTGAAAGGGAGGAGGGCCAAGTGATACAAGAAGTGGTAGCGGTGTAGGGATGAATTGTTTCGAACGTGATAGTTCAGTGGTTGGGTTGAGGCGGGTTAGTCTTCCCTGAAGAGATGAGTCTTTAGGGAGCGCCTAAAGGCAGACCGATTAGTAGATAGACTGACTGGTTATTTACGGAGTTCCAAAGGATGGGAGACACTCTAGAGAAGTCCTGGAAACGAGCATGGCAGGAGTTGATGAGGGAGCTAGACAGCAGGAGGTCTTGGGAGGAGCGGAGAGGACGTTTACAGTGATACTTTGAGACCGGGTTTGAGATATAGCCGGGGGAAGATTTGTGGATGGCTTTGTAAGTGGTTGTTAAAATTTTGAATTTTAACCACTTGCTGACTTACCCCATTCCTGTCCAGGCCATTTTACAGTATTCAGCGCTGCGGTACTTTGACATTTATTCCGTCATGCAACGCTGTACTGAAATTCATTTTATGCCATTTTTTGGGGGACAGATAGAGCTTTCTTTTGGTGGTATTTAATCACCACTGGGGGTTTTATTTTTTTACTATATAATGAAAAAAGTACCGAAAATTTTGAAAAAAAAACCTGTTCTCCCTACGTTATGTTATAAAACATTTATTATTACCCAATTTTTTGGTAAAGTATAAGACGGGGGGGTCACGTCGGGTAAATGGACACCAAATATGTCAAGCTTTATGTAACGTGCGGCACAATGGATGTAATCGTTTTCGCACGTAGGCGGACTCGACGTATGAGGGGCGCTGCGAACTTTTATTTTTTCTATTGCTTTGATATGTGACTTAATTTTTTTATTTTTTTTTGTAAAAATTTTTAAACTTTTTTTCCCCACTTAACTTTATTGCTATCAGATAGGGAGCAAACAAGCTCCCTATGTGATAGCCAATTTGCAGTGACAGGTCCTCTTTATGGAGACATCAGGGGTCTTTAAGACCTCTAATGTCACCTAGGGACCCCCAGACAAGCTGATAAGGCAGAGACCTGCTTCAGCAGCTTCTCTCCGGTTTCTGTACCGGAGAGTGACACTGAATGCAGGCAGTGATGTCATACACATCACTTCCAGCATTCCGATGAGGAGGAGATCAAACGGAGCTCGTGTACTGAGCTCGGTTTGATCTCTGGCCGCAGAGCTGCGCCTGAACGCTTGTATGTAAACAGCCATCGCTTGCTGTTTACATTCAAAGCCGATTTCCCGTTTGTGCGCGCCACCTAGCGGTGGGCACGAGTGGGATGGGACTTCAAAAACGCCCACCCGCATTCAAGAAGCCGCTGTCCGGCCGATTAATTACAATGGCTGGACAGTAGGTGGTTAACCTTTGGGCGATTGGAAGCCAGTGGGAGGGATTGGCAGAGAGGGGTTGCAGACACAGAGGTTGGTTAGGTGGATGAGTCTAGCAGCAGCATTCATGAAGGGGCGATAGCCTTTGTAGCAATAGGCCAATGAGGAGGGAGTTGCAATAGTCGTGGAGATCACAAGTGAGCCATGTCCCTCCACCTCCGACTTTTTAACCTCTCCTGCTTTCAGCAGTTTGTGTGAGTACCCAAAGTTTTGACTTGGGGTCGTAAATTGGGTTTCCTCAGTTTAGCGATACAGTATGTCAAATTCGAAGTGGAAAGGGAGCGGCACTGCTGTTTCTAGTCAATATCTGGAGAAACTTCCAATATCTGACCTGCCTCTACCAGTATCTGTTGATGGTATAAAAAAAAACTTAAAATCTGTAAAAAAAATATTTTAGAAGACAAAGAAACATCCATTCTCCTAAGGACACTAAGCAAAACTGATGAGGTGGGAGGAGTTGAAGCTTCTACAGGACTGACATTCCTTACTCAATGTGTCTGGTCTCAGTTTCTCCTGTAGGCATCAGTATAACACTGGGTTGTTTATTACCAAGCTGCGTCCTACTATAGAGAAAAATAATAGTTTTTGCCAGAGCGAGTAGATCTACAGTATAGTACCCAAATCATGCACAAGTGCACTAGGAGAGAGACGCTCACTGCTCGGCCTTAGTTCTGTGACAGCGGCTCCGCCCCCTGCGGCTGCAACGCTTCTTTCACTTCTCGGATCCCCAGCTTCCTCTGCCCAGGAGAGCAGCGCAGATCCAGAGGAGAAGCTGAGCCCCCCTGTGCGTGGCGGAACGGCAGAGGATTATCACATAGTGATATGTTCCAATCCTCTGTGCAGGACAAACACTGGAGCTATCAGCTGATCACTCCGGTGTTTGTAAATAACTGGGGACACATAGTACTATGTGGGGAAGTACACGGTTTTTTTTCTTGCCATGGGCGCCAAAAGGAGCGGTCTACGGCTATGCTCCCGCGGTGCTCGTGCGGCTGCCGGCTGAATGTGTCAGACACTGCAGATGGAAAGGGACAGGACACCTCTCCCCATGTGCAACGTCGGCCACACGAGCACCACGGGAGGACAGGACGCCGGGGACCTCTAGGACACACTATAATGTAAGCCGGCCGACTCCCTGCGTTCAGAGGGGGTGTGGGGTTGTATTGAGGTCAATTGCACCGCAGCCATGCCCCCTGCCCACAGTGCGATCGCCCGCACCCGGAACGCAGGCACATTAGTGCCTGCATTCCGGTCCAGTGCGTTCTGCAAAAATAGTGCTCGCAGCATTTTTCCGGATCGCACTTGACTGGAACGCAGGCACTAATGTGCCTGGGTCCCGGGTGAAGGTGATCGCACTGTGGGCGAGAGGCCTGGCTGCGGTGCCATTTACTTCAATGCACCGCCACAACCCCTCCCGCCCCTGAATGCAGGTGTTTTTTCGTTGGTAGATCTCATTGAGCTCATCATTTCAAAAGTAGATCTCCAGATGAAAAATTGTGGGCGCCCCTGCACTAGGGGATTGTAAGATTGGCAAATGACCATACAAATTTCAATTTGTAATCTCCATAGACATGTTTTTGCCATTTTAACATTTAGGTATTTTTAATACTCATGTATACCACTACAGCATTGTCAAGTGGGTTTTGGAGTTTGAGAACAGTACATGAGTAAAAACTTCTACTATAAAGCCTTGAGATGCATTGTCTGTCGTCAATGCTAGAGGAGTGTCGGTATATATGTGCTCCCTTTGGCAATGTTCTTATGCCAGTTAGTGCATGTTGCCTTTACTGAATAACTGTGTGAGATTTACAGAATCCTTTGTATTAGGTGAAAGTTTCCAAATCTTTTCTAAAGGCTTCCACTAACAGTTACTGTGTTCCATTACTGCCAAGAATTGCAGCTTTTATATGGGATTAGTACATAAGGAAATACCTGCTTTTATCTAGTATATATCAAAAGAGATTGTCCTAAATCAAATCCTTCTGCAGGTATAAAGTGCAGGTTTCTTAGAGGTGTGTACATCCTCTGATACTGATGCTTTTACGGCCAAATGACTAGCAGTTCTCTGACAATGATGTGGTATTTCTGATTTGTGCCAAAGCTTTCTCACCTCTGTCTCCTGTCCAATTATATTAAATTGCAAGCTCTGACAATATCTGCAAGTTATTGGAGCTTTGTCTGTCAGAACTGGGCAGCATTTGACTGTAAAAGCATGGCACTGTAGGCTGCTGCTTCAGGGTTTCTTTAAAAACTATAAATGTAAAACCATAAAACGTTTGATTATTGATCTAATTCCATTGTTGACCACATTACAATATACATGGTTTCCCTTTTTCCAGTTTTCTGCAGGTTCAACCACCATTTTGGATGAAGAGCCAATTGTAAATAGAGGTCTGGCTGCTGCTTTACATCTGTGCCAGAACAAAGGTAAAAATATGTTCTAGTATTGTATTCACCTAAATTTGTTTTTAAAAGGCAACATAATGCTTTCTAATTCTACCTAAGAACTTCAATTTTGTGCATGTTGGTATTAAATGTCAAGAATAAGGTTTTATGGGAAAAACTGGTACAAGTGACATAAATACACAGAATTTACAACTTTAATATTTGTTTTTTTTCTTACAGGTCTGCTGGAGACAACGGTACAAAAAGTGGCACGTGTAAGAGGAACCAATAAAGTCCTTCCATCAGCTGTATATTGCATAGAGGACAAAATGTATGTAATACTGTGGCCAATAGGTCTATACTTACACATTGTGTATATTTACAAATCAGAGCCTCTATTTTAAGAAGAACATAAACTTAAAATGCTTTAATAGAAATTAGTACATCATTGCAAGCAAAGTAATTGCAAACAACTGTCAATCCCCATGTTCTTTTGATTGTTATGTGTTCTTAAACATATTTGTACTTATTTTTTCACCATTGACCCAGGCGCACCCTTAATTCCCCCCAATGTGGTTAACAAATAGGCCTGGGATGCAGCATAGCATCCAGCATTTTGTAGCTTGTGGGGAGTGCTCTTAGATGGAATGTGGGCTAGCAAACAGCATTGGCAGTGCGGGACCCACTTGGAGGTGGTGGTATGAGGTGTCCTCAGTTGACCAGATTACTCTGGGGAGAGGAATTGCTTTTGGCAATGTTGCTAGGCAGTGCGTTCCGAGGGTCTACCTTCACCCTGGCCGGAGGACGGTGGGGGACTCTCTTATATATGAAATGCTTAGGGAAATTGGCAGTTTTCAAAGAATCTGTTAATGGCTAAAAAAACAATTGATGTGGAAGACTATTCCAAGTCTAATTCACTCTCACGCTCGCTCACTCTCACGCACGCTCGCTCGCTCACTCTCACGCACACTCACTCGCTCTCACTCACTCACTCGCTCTCACACGCTCTCACTCGCTCTCACTCACTCGCTCTCACTCGCTCTCACTCGCTCTCACTCGCTCTCACTCACTCGCTCTCACTCGCTCTCACTCACTCGCTCTCACTCGCTCTCACTC